GTAACCTTTACGATCCTGGATGAACATGAATCTTTGGGAAAAAGTAGATTCATGGTTGCTTTTAGTCCATCTACATACTCAGTTCTCCCCTCACCCACCACCACTCCCAAAACAAAACAAATCTACAAATAACTCTCTGTTAAAGATAGGGGAATTGAATGTGTCCATTTTTAATCCCACTCTGTCCCCAAACCTCACTAAAATGACGGTATAGAGGAAATATTTATACTCTCATAAGGGCAAATAGATCAGAAGAACAGACAGAGTAGATGAAACATTTGAAAGAGGGAAAGAAGACGGAGGAGAGGTCGCTTAGCAGAGCCAAGAGAGATGAGAGCTGACTGCCTGTAGAGGGAGAGAAAGACAAGAACTGAGCTGTTTTTCACTCTTCATCAAGGCTTCAGAGTGGGAGGTAGCTGGTATCTCTGAATGCAGGGTGGAGGGGCTCTGAAAGCAAAAACAATGTTTAGGTCACTTAAGGGCTAACTAGAATCTAGATCCCCCTTCTCAGCAGGATGCCTTTCTGTGTGGAAAACAAACAAATAAACAAGGACAACAGAAAACTTAACCAGGACAACTCTAGATTCAAAGGTACCACCAACCAAACTAAGGCACTGTGCTAAAAATGGGAGGGGAGTTAAATGAGAGTCCACATACTGAGCCTTGAGACCTTTAGCCCCTTCTCAAGTCACTGAGCTGAGGCTTCAGGCACTTACTGTCCAGGTGAGAGACCAGCAAATTCCTCTCTGCTGAAACTGACATATGCCAGGGAAGAGATTCAGACACTGACATTAGGGGACCCCCAACACAACAGCGGGTCCCCACCCAACAACCAGAAGGAAGCTTCCTCAGACACATACATTCCAATCAGCTTCTCAGGCTTCACAATTAAATGTGAAGACCATCCAAGAATCGTCAAAATGTTTAAGAAAACCTCCTCCCATTGAAAACAGATTCCAAAACAAAGAGGAAAAAAGAAATCAACACAATGCTGGAAGAAAATGAACACTTTTTAAAAACCACAATTAGTGTCCTAAAAAAGATAAAAGAAAAATTTGAATCTATGAAAAACATCCAGAATATTATTTTTAAATGCAGTCAAAATATAAGAACAAGTCTTTGAAAATTAAACATAATGACAGAAATTTTTAATTCTATAAAAAAAATTAGGGGATAAAGTTGGAGAAATCTATCAGAATAAAAATGAAGAAGACAATGAGGTGGAGAGCAGGAGAGAACAGCTAACAGAATGAGAGGATGAAACAAAGCGGTCCTTGTCCAACTAACAGGATTTCTAGAGGAAGGAAATAGAGGAAATAAAAAGTTTCATTTTTTATCAAAGAAATAATAGGAAAAAAATCCCAGAACTGAAGGAGATGATTTTCAAGACTTAGTATCCAGAGAGGTAAAGAACAACTCAGATCAAATTTTCCTAAAATTTCCAAGAGAGGGAACACGAAGAAGACCACTGATAGAAGTTCAGAAATCAGAATGGCATAAGACTTCTTAATGGCAATTGTAGAAACCAGAAATTAAAGATGCAATGCCTTTACTTTTGATGAAAAGGTTTTCAACCTAGAATCCAGCCAAAGTATCAACCAAGTGTGAGGGAGGAATCAAGGTCATTTTCTCAAAAAGAGAAAGAAAAAAAAGAAAGCAGATTTTTGCCTCACATCTATGCTTTCTGTTTTCTCAAACAGAAAAAAGAAGTCATTTGTATATCCTCATATGATAAATGTGTATTCATCTCCTTTGCCCATTTTTTAATTGGGTTACTTGTTTTCTTACTGTTGAGTTGTTTGAGTTCTTTGTATATTCTGGATATTAATCCCTTGTCTGATGCATAATGTGCAAATATTTTCTCCCATCCTCTAGGTTGTCTTTTCGCTCTGTTAATTGTTTCTTTTGCTATGCAGAAGCTTTTTAGTTTTATATAATCCCATTTGTTTAATTTTTTCTTTTTCTGCTTTTGCGGTCATATTCATAAAGTCTTTGCCCAGTCCTATATCCTGAAGCATTTCCCCTGTTTTCTTTTAAGAGTTTTATAGTTTCAGGTCTTATATATAAGTCTTTAATTCATTTTGAGTTGATTTTGGTATATAATGAAAGGTACAGGTCTAGTTTCATTTTTCTGCATGTGGATTTCCAGTTTTCCCAGCACTGTTTATTGAAGAGGCAGTCTTTTCCCCAATGTATGTTTTTGTTGTCTTTGTCCAAGGTCAGTTGGCTGTAAGTATGTGGGTTGATTTCTGGGTTCTCTATTCTGTTCCATTGGTCTGGGTGTTTTTGTGTCAGCACCATGCTGTTTTAGTTACTATAGCCTTGTAGTATAGTTTGAATTCAGGGAGATTATGCCTCCAGCTTTATTTTTTTTTTGCTCAGAATTGCTTTGGCTATTCAGGGTCTTTTGTTTTTCCATATGAATGTTAGGATTGTTTTTTCTATTTCTGTGAAGAATGTCATTGGTATTTTGATGGGGATTGCATTGAACCTGTAGATTACTTTTGGTAGTATGGACATTTTCTCAATGTTAATTCTTCCAATCCAAGAGCATGGAATGTGGAATGTCCTTCCATCTTTTTGTGTCCTCTTTAATTTCTTTCAGCTGTGATTTGTGGTTCTCGTTGTAGAGATCTCTTTGGTTAAATTGATGCCTGAGTATTTCAATTTTTTAATTGACTATTTTAAATGAGATTCAGGGAAAGGCAAATCAAACTGCACTGAAGTATCATCTCACCCCAGTTAGACTGGCTACTATCAAACAGACAGAGAATAACAAAGGCTGACAAGGATGTGGAGAAAGGGGAACACTCCTACACTGTTGGTGGGACTGTAAATTAGTGCAGCCATTGTGGAAAAAAGTATGGAGGTTCCTCAAACAGCTACAGATAGAACTGCCATACAACCCAGCAAAAGAATGGAATAGCCAAAAGAATGGAAATCATCATGTCAAAGGAATACGTGTACTCCCGTGTTTATTGCAGGTCTATTTACAATAGCCAAGAGTTGGAATCAACCCAAATGTCCATTGACAGATGACTAGATAAGGAAAGTTTGGTATATATAGTCAATGGAGTACTACTCTGCCATAGAAAAGAATGAGATTCTGCCATTTGCAGCATCATCTACGAACTCAGAGAAAATTATGTTAAGTGAGATAAGCCAGACACAGAAAGAGAAATACCATATGTCCTCACTCATAAGTGGGAGCTAAAATAAAGAATGAAAAGAAAGAGAAAGAAGGAAAGAAAGAAAAAGAAAGAAAGGATAACAGTAATACATTAGACTTTCAAAAAAAGGGAACAGAACTGTGATTACTAGAGGTGGGAAAGGGGGAGGGGGAGGGGATTAGTTAGAAACTAGTTAAGGATCACAAAGATTGAAGATTGATTTTGTTTTGTAAACATGAGTGTACTAATTATACTGATTTGATCACCACATATTGTACGCATGTATTGATATTCGATTCTGTACCCCACAAATATATAATCAATAATATATAGATAGATAAGTAAATAAATAATTTTTAAAAAAGAAAAAAGAAGTCATGAGATAGAGGGGAAAAGGGTCCAGCATGAACAAGAGTTGAGGAGATTGCCAAAATAAACCTGAGGGAACCTCCTAGGATAGCAGCCGTGTCAACAGCCTAGACGACAAGCCCTCACAGTGGCTCCAGGAAGGATGTGTCCAAGGAGAAATTGTCAAGTGCTGGGTCATTTGATATATTTAACCATATTGAGAATAGTGCTGTTCAGAGAGTTCAGGTGCATAAAATACTAAGCCAATTAAAAAAGAGAGAGAGAGACTTTAGGCATTCATTACACTAGCCCACTGGGAAAAAACCCACAATCATAGCATTTGGGTAACTCAGCTGCAAAAACTAAAAAAATAGTTATAATAGTGCAAACCTGGAATATTGATTTATCTGAAAATTGTGATCCCTATTGGAAGATGGGGGTAGTACTGAGTGTAGCATGGTGGGGGTTGGGCAGGTGTATGAGGAAGTCTAAGAGAATTAAATCCTCATCTTTCATAGTAGTCAGTCAGTAGATTTCCCTCAAAATGGAAAATCGATGTGCATCAGTATAAGCAGAGTACTGAGGAATGTGGAGGTAAATATCAAAAGATATGTGCAGACTTGAGACGGAGAAAAAAAAAAAGCCCAGGGCTCCTGTGTTTCACTATAAGCCCTGTCTCATGCATTTTAATTTTTTAGCCATATAATGTTTACTGTCGTAGAAAAAAAAGAAATACAAATGTTTTAAACCTACAGATTTAAATTTCAGTGATGTGTCTTATCTTACAGTTCTCGTCTGAGATATAAAGTAGGGTTATGCAGGTGGTCACCCCTTGGCCTTCTACACTATTCCATAACATTTCCAGTGTTCACATGGTGCCAGGCACTCCTCTAGGCTTTGGGGATAGAAGAGAAGGCAGATTGGGACCACGTTTTATAGGTAGAACTGTACAGCTGGCGGGACTTGTTAGCATGAGGGAAGGAGAAAGCAAGCAACTGGATGGATGGAGTAAGAGAGGATTATGAAATCAAGAGTTCTGTTTTAGCCCAAATAAGTTTGGATGGCTTATAAAATCCAAATAGATTTGTCAACTAGGCAGGGACATTCAAGCATAGTACACAGTAAAGACAACAGAACTGGAAATATAATTTGGGACAGACAGGCATGATTAAGTACAGAGATGTGCCTTTCCAACTCCACATGATCCCTGTGCTCCCAAAAAACATGATTCTGGCAATGAAGGACCTATTTTCCCATTAAATACTAAAAACAGGCTCAAATGACCGGACAGTACCAGAAATATTAGCCCAGTGTTCTAATTGTCCTAATCCAACAAGGAGTAAATAAAATAATTCTTTGCATAGAAGTCTTCTAAGGTTTTACCACCAACCCAAACTGCAGCCTATTGAATTTACAGAAAATTAATAGGAAATTATAGGGCATTTGCATTATGAAACTAGTACCATGGACCCCAATGTGTACCGTTGTCATCCGAGCTTTGCGCAAATAGGTAAGAAGGTCTCCTCCTTCCATCAGTTCCAGGATAATATACTGGGGTTCATTCAGAAGACAAACTCCAAGCTGCTTCAGAATGTTGGGATGATTAAACTTGCTGAAAGGTACAAAGACACAGGCTGGATGACATGACAGTAACAGGAGACCTAGCTGAGAGATTTTTATGGAGTAGAGCAATTCTTTAAACAGTTTTCTTCAAAACCCCAGATTTATTTTCTGTGATAGGTGAAAGCTTTCTTTCCCAAGTACTGGGCCATGTGCTTGCCTTAAGGCAGTAATATGGCAACCCCTAGTGGCCAATGCATGTGGATAGACTAGGGTGGTTTTGAGAAGGAACAGCATTTATGTAAGTACTTTATGTTTTGAAAAGGAAGTCATTTTGACAAATAGCCTTCTTCGAAAGGTATTTGAAACATTATGTTTTTGGTCATAACAAGTATGAAACATACTTTCTCCCTTTTAGAGAAACAATTCAGACACACAGGTTTGGCTACACTGGTTTCTCAAGACATCAGAGTAAGCCCCTGCCTAATGATTGAAGCCCATCTTCTCTTTAAAATGTCTTTAAGTAGTTTTTATGGCCATAAACTGATTAAAACCTTGCAGACAAATTTACTAAGACAAGGGATATTTTCACTGACAAAAAATACATCAGAGAACTCTCTCCTACTTGGCCTCCTTGACCCATTATCACACATTTAGAAGAAAAACTGCCTGTTTAAAGCTGAGCAGCTTCAGAATTCACTTGCAAAACACACCTCCTATTGAAGATAAAAGAAAGGAGGACCTTTTGCCTGAGGACTGCCAGCACCCAGGCTCGGAAGACTGGCCCCTATAGACTCCTTATTACTACAGACTTGGTTCCATTTAAACCTTTCAGCCATGTTTGTCTTGGGAATGACACGTTATGTCAGGTCATTTTGGATGTTAAAAATTGAACAAACAGATGTAAAGGCTTTCGGCTCATACCAAGAGATAATTATTTCAGAGCTACCCTGATACCTCATCAGATGTGCCTCCTTCAGGAATTCAATTTTCTCCTGGTCTGTAGAGCCCTTCTTCAAAGTCTGTGCAAGACAAAAATAAGTTAGGAGTCAGTATAGCAGACATTTCTATGAGCTCAGTGGTTTAATGGAAATAATCATTATTTTGTCTTGTTTTGTAATACTAACCCCCAAAGCTGGAAAAAGATCACAGATAAAGCATGTGTATGTGTTCTATAAACCTAGTTACATGTTAGTTCCTGTTATTGTTAGTGTTCAAGTAGGGAAATCTACTAGATAAAAGATCTATTAGTATTTACACAAAGTACCTCCAAAATATAGACATTTTTAAAAGAGACCAAGTTTAGTGTTTAGTCCAATTTTTTAATTTTCAAATTTTTCAGCTCAATATCTGTTCCCCCCAGTACCTTGCTAACAATACACTGATTAATTTCTTGGAAGCAAGGTGCCCAATCCCAGGCAATTGATCTAAACTAATCATGAAAATTGTGGTCTGAAATTTCTCTGCCTCCCTTGCAAGTTAGCATAGTCATATGACTAAGTTTTGGTCAATGAGATGTAAGAGAAAAACTGCTGAGAAAGGAGAGAGATTCATAGAAAACCTTTGCTTTCCTGAATGTATATATCTAGCACCATCCTTCCCCCTCTCCCTGGCAGAATGAAGATGTGATGCCTGGTTCTTTGGCAGCCATCTTGAGACCATGAGCAATAAGCATGTATAAAAGTCAAGAGAATCTCAGTAGTACTGGCTCTGACCTGACACACTACTACACCAAAGTCAGCATCATCTTGGTATGTGAGAAAAATAAACACTTGTTTAAAACAGTTGAGGTTGCAATACAGTTACAGGACTTTTAAATGATATCATTTGGAAGTGGAGAGAATTTTGTCAACTTTTCTAGTCATATAGCCCACCCTCAGAGCAATAAATCTCCAATAAGCAGTAATCAGGACATTGCTCAATTACATAAAAGATTCATCACCCCTCCATAAAAAGAAAGTTTTACGGGCCGGCCCGGTGGCGCACTGCTACAGTGCGCCGCTTGGGAGCGCAGCAGCGCTCCCGCCGAGGGTTCGGATCCCACATACAGACTGGTTCCCGCTCACTGGCTGAGCGAGGTGCGGGCGCGGCACCGAGGGGTGCGATCCCATTGCCGGTCCCGGTCCGGTACGGGCATGACACTGAGGGTTGCGATCCGTTGCCGGACACAAAAAAAGACAAAAAGGAAAAAAAAAAAAAAGAAAGTTTTACAAAAGTATGAGAGTATATCCATTGTTTCCTTAAAAATACATGAAATATACCATGATGAAAAATTGTGTAATACAGAGGTCAACAGACTACAGCCTGTGGGCCAAATCCAGCCTGTCATGTATTTTTATGCAGCCTGTAATCTGAAAATAGTTTTCACCTTTTTAAATGGCTGAAAAAAGTCAAAAGAGGAATACTATTTTATGACACATAAAATTATATGAAATCATAAATAATTTTATTGGGACACATCCACACTCATTTGCTTACATGTTTGTGACTGCTTTAGAACTATAATGACAGAGTTGAAAAGTTGCAACAGAGACTGTATAGCTAACAAGCCTAAAATACTTACTATCTGCCCATTTAAGAAAATGTTTCCTGACCCCTGGACTAGCACCTTGAGAACATGTTTTATAACTCCAGTTCTCTTACAGCATGTTTGAAGTAAAATAACCGTCTGCCAGGTCTTAGTTAATTAGTGGCATTAGAGGTAATGGAAACCCTGAAGATTTTCTGTTGATTACAGAAGCCACCTAGGAAATAGGGAGGAAGGGAACATGATTTCTGTAGCTATGGATAGGCTTCTACATTCTACCAGTCCTCTCTTCAACTAAGAGCACTCAATTTTTATTATAATCGTGTCCATGCAAATTCATGTAAATATGGTGACATAACATGTCAGGAGTTCAGAGATCCACATTACCTTCACTGCTACTTTGATTTCTCCACTTCCAGCTCCTAAGATGTCTACTGCTGTCCCTTCATACACTTCTCCAAAGGCTCCACTTCCCAACAAGAGACGTAGAGTCAGTTTTTCCCGAGGGAAGGCAGGAAGATTTTCAATCTCCTCTTGGGTCGGAAGAGTACTGTAAGATAACATTTTCGTTCTCCCAAAATACATATGGTTTACGTGTTTGTATCAGTATTGGTGTTTACATTTGAGAGAGAAAAAGAAAGAAAAATCTCATGGCTTTGCAGCATTGTGGGTTCCATGTGATAGGGATATGGAATTTTTTGTTCCTGTTATACTTCAGTATTTCATCACCTTTTACCCAGACAGAGCATGCCTCTTTGCTTGTAGGCACCTTCATTTTGATAGAAACATACATGTGTGTGCATTGCCTCGAGATTTTTATGGTAGCTTGTCCTGTCAAAGTTAGGAGTTATTAACTTCTTCATGTTGCCAATTTGTGTAAAAAGCTATTGCAAATTATCTATAGATGCATCTGGGTTTATGAGGTCACTTTAACTGCTTCACACACCTGATCTCTCATGTAAAACAAAAATCAACACCATCACCATCAGGTTAACTTTTGGGAAGCCAGTTTTCTCACTTGGAACATTGGGGGGAAGCCCCCACATTAAAAATGCTTTGAATTCTTAATGGGGAATCTTGAATATCAGATATTCTGTGTAAAGTACTTTCTCAGAGAAAAGTCACCTGTGAATAGCTGATTTAGGTCACCTCTGTGTCTACTTCAAATCCTTTGTTTTTATGTCTTGAATTATACATTTCCAGAAGCGAGGTCTATGACCATATAATTCCTTTTTGCATAGACCATAATACTGTTTCATACGAAGAAACACTTAAATATTTTCCCTAATTATGACTGCAAAGGAAGTTCAAAACCCATCTGTCTTAAAGAAGTTATGTAGGCAATCTCCATACAACTTCTGCAATGGAATTGACCGACAATAGCACATACACAACGCCCATGTACTTTCTCTCTTCTCAAAAACTGCCTCCAACTGAACCAACTATGTTACTATCTACTCTCTTCAGTGTAGTATTTATCTCCTTCTTTCACTTGCTTTTGAACTACATGATAAAATATTGGAAAACAATGGATTTTTCTGTATTTCCCTTATAGGATAACCACATAATTTGCTATCTATGCTGGGTCACATTTGAGACTGAAAGATGTTATAATTATGCCAGCAGAATAGGCACAAACCAGGACCAGCCTGGATAATGCAGGTTGCATAGGCACTCTCATTATTGTCACCCACCCTTTGCCCAAGTGGTCCATGACAATGGCCCAGGCTACGTACTGTATTGCATAGCAGGCATTAGCCAGTCCTACTCCAGGTGCCAGACCTCGTAGCTCAGCAAACTCTTTGTCTTCGTTTATGAGAACTGTCAGCCCTTCCTTGGAAGATTTTGGATTTTTCAATCTTCTATGCCAGACTATAAAGAAAAAAATGATATAATTTACAGAATAGAATATTGCTTTTTTTTCATTAGGAAATGTTAACAGTGCATTTTAAATGTGTACATATAAGAACACTATTGGTAGAATAACATAACTTGGTTAAAAAAATAGAAAAACTAATTAAATCCAGGTAAAAATCCACATGAAAACACACAGCTTATACCACATCACTTATCATTGCACTTCTCAGAGTAAAGCTTGATACATTTCTTACTGCTATTGTAAACAACTGGAAGTATAGTATCTTAATATTAGAACTTATTTTTCAATATCACCCATAAGCTACAGTCAAAATAAACCAAAACAAACTTGCATAATAATTATTATGAAACAAATTCATATCTAAGTTCAAACATATCGGGGTTATACTCCTCAGCAGATCCGAGGGAACACTCTCAACATAATCATACATTTCTTTTAAAAAATGCAGAGAAAAAGAGTGTATATCCATTGCTGTGCATACACACATACTCAAATATGTAGAAAAATTATTGGAATGAGATCCATCAAAATGTTAGCTCTGTTCCCCGCAGCTGTGGAATTATAAGTTGTTTGTAGTATCTTCCTTAAACAAGGAGCAGATACTATATTACGATGATAAAAAAGTGTTATTTTTTAAAGATTAAAATACAATTATGCCAAGAATATTACCCATTTATACTAGAGTACTGGTTCAGAAATTGAAAATAGCAAAGATGCTTTGGGAGATGATCATTAAAATTTGAACTTTGTTTCATAATAGCTTCTGTACCCAAGGGGTTAGAGTTCTACTCAAGCAGTTTCACATGAGGAACCACACAGTGAAAAGTTGCAAGTACCTTTGCTAATGTTATTTTTCAAACTTGAAATGCTCTCACCACCCCTCTCCATTTTTGAAGGTCCAGCATAAGCCCCACATGTTCAGTGATGCCTTCTGAGACCTCTGCAACCTCCCTGATTATTTAACACATATCTTGCCATTTATCTTTTCACACCAGTATGTCTTACCTCCCTCATCAAATGGTAAACTCATGACGTCAATTGCATTTTACCACTTTATATTTTCTTCTACTTCCAGTATAAGGCTAATGTTGCACATTAGATAAGACCACTCACCAAATCAAAGGCTGTTGATGCTTAATTTTAAGTGCATCTTTCAATTTTGTATTGATAAGTATGACTGATGAGAGCTCTCATCACAATACAAATTTTAAAATAATTGCTGCTTTTCATTATTTTAATAGCTCAATCTTTTCTCATGCACTCACACACTCCTACTACTGAAACCACATGCACAGCTACTAAAAGCAAAAAACCAAATTAGCTTAGCTATACTAAAAAATTTGTGAGTTCCAAACAGAATAAAGACCTTAAAGTCCTGAGAAAGTCAGATATCCATAGGATGTCTGGAAAGCACAACAGGTTGTCTGAAATTATTTCATGTTCATCCACTAGAGTTATGGGTTTAAACAATGTTGATGTACAAGTAGGCAAGCAAGGGTCAGATGAAGGATTCTCCATGTAATTCCCCTTCCCAGTAGGAAAGCAGACAAGCCGTCAAGGCTATATGTCAGCTGCCAAATATACTGCAGTCATATGCGTAATTCTGGAGGGCCGGCTTAGTGGCGCAAACATCAGCTGTGCGAGACAGACTCCCTGGAACCACAGGTTAAAATCCTGGCAGGGTCAGCTGAAATTTTTAGCTTTCCAAGTTAGCTAAAGGAGTCCCACATAGCATCTGGGTGGAATCTTTGAAAAGAAATACTAATTCAAGTTTCAAAGTGCTCTTTGATAGCTTATGACTTAAATCCGTTTGGAGAAGAATGAAGATTTAGAATGCTTAGTGAAATATTGGCTTTCTTGAACCTCAGAGAGTCCAACTTTACAACTTCCTGAATATGTGCTTGAGTGCTCTTTTCTGATAAGTGTCATGCTTTTCTTGCACTCCTTCAGCATGTCAGGGACTCTCAATTTTTGCAGTAGATAGGGGGGCCCATTTATATTATAACCCAAAGCAGGACATTTGGGGGACTGAAAGGGAATGCTATTAATTTTTATGCTGAAATAATAGTAATAAACCAGATTGTATGATCAATATGATAACCCTATAGGCCTGATATCTGACCATTTGGGGTTGTCACTATATCTTTAAACTAAATCTTTAAAAAGAAGGACATTTTAGGACTAGCACATTAGTATAAAATGAATAGTGGGAAACACCTAACTTTCTGTCTACCTAACCTAATTTTTTTTTTTTTCCTTTTTGTCTTTTTTCGTGTCCGGCAACGGATCGCAACCCTCAGTGTCGCGCCCATACCGGACTGGGACCAGCAACGGGATCGCAAACCTCGGTGCTGCGCCTGCACCTCGCTCAGCCAGCGAGCGGGAACCGGTCTGTATGTGGGATCCGAACCCTCGGCGGGAGCACTGCCGCACTCCCAAGCGGTGCACTGTAGCAGTGCACCACCGAGCCAGCTCTAATTTTTTTTTGCTTTCTGATCATTTATAAATGAGCAGAGATTTGAAATAAGCAGGTCAGACGTCTGAAAGTGAAAATGGATCTTACAAGCCAGAAACGGATCTTGTGCAAAAAAGGCCCTACTCCTTCTAAACCAGGCTGTCTGCCTAGAGACCAAAACTATCCTGACCAAAGATTGTTACTGGCCTTCCACTAATCCTACACTTTTTTTCTACCCAGAGTTATTTTTCTTTTATTTAATTCAAACTGAAAGCCATAAAACACTTGCACATAGCCAATCAGAAACAAATGCTGTTTTAAAGAAAGCTGAAAGTTGATGCCCTTACAAGTGGTTTATCTAAAGTACATCATGAAATGTAAATACAGTTTTTAATAAAATAATTACATCTAGGGCCGGCCCGGTGGCGCACTGCTACAGTGCGCCGCTTGGGAGCGCAGCGGCGCTCCCGCTGAGGGTTCGGATCCCACATACAGACCGGCCGCTCACTGGCTGAGCGAGGTGCGGGCGCAACACTGAGGGTTGCGATCCCATTGCCGGTCCGGTCCGGTACAGGCGAGACACTGAGTGTTGCAATCCATTGCCGGACACGAAAAAAGACAAAAAGGAAAAATAATAATAATAATAATAATTACATCTAGATAAGAAAAAAATCACAGAAGTTAGTAGTTGTGAAAGTGTAGCCAAAGGTAACTGTGAATTTTATGAATTTATTTAATCAGGTCATGTTTCATGTGGGAGCATAGATAATCTGAGAGCTAAATCAACCAGTATAATCAAATAAACAGCTTATTACCAAGTTTTATAATCTGCAATACTTACCAAAGGCCAATGGGATTGTAACAATAGGAAATATTCCAACTATAACAGTTAGTATAAAACTCGTTTCTGGTATCCAAAAACTGTCTAACGATATAAATGAGAAAAAGAAATTAAATCACAGAATAAAGCTAAATAGTCCCAGTTCTACCTAAGCACAGAGTGATATATCAGTTATTAAACAGTTGGTAGCTACAAATTATCCATGCAGACAGTATTTACACCGTGGGAAATCAAAATCAAGATTTTTTTGTGTGTTTTTCCCCCAGAGTGCCAGTTTACCAACACATTATTGGAATATACCCACTCAATTTTCTACTTTAAAATGACTGGGGAAACATGTATAATCTTTTCAATGAATTTGGGACAAACAAGTCTCAGTCTTCATATATTAAATAGGATTATTATTTTTTTCCATAATACCTTCATACATACTTAGTTCTGTGGGTATTAAACTGAGGAATATAAACATGAGAACACGGTACCACCTCTTAGGTGGTTTGAGTTTTGTACAGGAAACACACATTCAGACCAAAGCTCAGCAAACTGTAGCCTGAGGGCCAAGTCTGGCCACAGCCTGATTTTGTGCCACCTGAGAGCTAAGAATGATTTTTACATTTTTAAAGTATTATTTTTAAAAAGAAGAAAAGAAGAGCATGCTACAGAGATTGGATGGAGCCTGCAAAGTCTAAAATACTTACTCTTTGGTTCTTTTCAGAAAAAGTTTGTCAAGCTCGTATGTAGAAAACAGTGATACAAATAAGAATGATGTAAATTCTATATAGAGTGTGTGTGTGTGTGTGTGTGTGTGCGCGCGCGCGCGCGTGTGTGTGTGTGTGTGTGAAGTAAAGGAAGTCCCAGCTAAGGGGTGCCTGGTAGATGATGGGGCTGTGTTCTAGACTGAGTTAAACACAAGGCCAAAGACTGAGTGGCATAAAAGATTTTTACCAATCAGAGATGGCCACAACATAGGGATAAATACTGGGAAAGATGATCCACAGTTGGAGGACAAACCACAGAAGGCCATACATGCCACACGGAAGTTTGTAGTTGATGCTGAAGGCAGTGAATGGAGAGCCATTGTGGGTGTTTCAGAGAGGGGTTAAGTGATCCAGCCTGCGCGTCAGCTAGATTAACTGTCAGTGGTGTGATGAAGCCAAGAGAGCAGGCAGGACACGATACCTTAAATTAAGAAAACCAGGGTGGAAGTAGGAAAATGGCAACTCACCAGAGAGAAATCGAGATGGTAAAAGCAATAGAATTCAGTGACCGAGTGGAGAGAAAAATTAAATATGGTACTGAGATCTCTGGCCCATGTGACTAGAAAGATAACATATTGTAAACTAAAACAGGATACACAGTGGAAGAGATAGATGTTAGGGAAGAGATAAAAAATAGTTTTAGGCCTATTGTATATAAGATGAGAGTACCAGGGACAGGATAATAAGGCTATATAGGTAAAGACTAGGTTGTAGACATCCTTAGAAGCCTATTTAGGAGCCTGGGATTGATGTGTAGGCATTAAAGAGGATCTGGTTATTACTAAGGACAAAAATGACATGGTGATAATGATGTTTTAGGAAGATCACATCAGATGAATTGAACAGTTCAATAGTTTGGATGATAAGTTATATAGTCACCGTGTCTATTGCTAATGTTAAGAATACACCTATCTTTATTTCTGAACCTTCACATTATAAGCTGTGTAGTCAGACATCGTAACATACCTCCAACTAATATGATATTCTCACTGATTCCACTGTATTCACCAAACCCCAGATTATTTGCAGCTACTACTCTGAACTGAAATGTTCCTTTTAGGTTTTGGAGTTTCCATGTGCAAATGCTACTACAGGATCCATTAAATGTTATCTTCCACTTTAAATTCTGGTTCTGTGAATCATTTGAAGTGTGCTTTCTGCAAAAGAAACAGTAAAATAATAAATACAGAAACTATATTTGACAATTTATGTGTTACTTCTAGTTGCTCATGTATTGTTTTAATAACAGAACTCCAAAGAGTCTCCCATGGCCTACTTTGCTCTTGATCTCATTCCTCTCACATGGTTTGGCTACAAAACACAGCATGGTTTTATAAAGTCATCCAGTGCTGCATGGAGCCAACCAACTCAGCCCACCAAGAAAGTTACAAATAATCAATGGCCAAGAGAAGGCTGAAGATCCTTTTCCTACTATTAGAAGGTGTAAACTTTCTTCACAATTCCAGACGTATAAGATAATTATCCCATAATTTTTAAATGGTAAGTTTCTCTTTTTCCTAATTTTCAGTCTCATGTCATTTGTAGTTTATTTTACCACATCTGCATAAAACACAGAATATAAAATTGATAAGGAAGGTGAGTTAGTTTAGCTACCAACATTATCATTATATCTCAGATTCTAAGGTTCACTGCTTCCTTTTGTATAGACCGACATTCAACCTCAAAGTCAATCCACATCGTTCATCATATGGAACATGAGCTAAGTTCAAAAGACATAACTGGGCTGGTCAGTTAGCCAGTTAGCTAGAGCATGGTGATGATAACACCAAGGTCAAGGGTTCAGATCCCCATACCAGCTAGCTGTCAAAGAAAAAAAAAAGAGACATAACTGGAATGGCTTTTAACAGAATCATTGACTAAAGGCAAGCTCGAGGTATACCAGTTAGGTCTTCTCTGATGATGATGAACATCTCTGGTCTAAAAAGTTTCAGGACGTGGTACCAGCCCACAGTAAGCTTAGGGATATGTACTAGAAGCTAGTACTGCTTCTGCTAACTGAGTGGTCATTCTGAAAGGTCAACAAGGATAAAGAGGGCTGAGCCTCAGCAGGGTCAGGGAACAGGCAAGAACATCAGGAGTATGAGGGCAGCAGAGTTGGTCACAACTGTTCCCAGGAGCTGGCCAGCATCAGGAGCTAAAAAGAGGCAAGGAAGGATTCTTCCCTAGAACTTTCCGAGGGAGCATGGTCTTACTGACATTTTGATTTCAGACTTCTAACCTCCAGAACCATGAAAGTAAATTTCTGTTGTTTTAAGCCACCTGGTTGGTAGTACTTGGTTATGGCAGCCCTAGGAAACTAACAAAATCTGCTCAGCTCCCAAGTTGGTGCACTTTGCACTACCACTGCACCACCAGCAAGTACACAGAGTCCAACTAGAATGTCCTGACTGAAGAACTTTGAAGTTACAATTCATTCTGTCATCCTACAGTCTATGTCTTGACAGTGGAGACCTGAGGCAAGGAGTATGCAAAATATTTAGATGGAGCAATGCACTTAGGTGTTAGTGTGGGGAGCACACTGAAGGGGTCCTAGCAAGAGCCATGGGGTGGCCTGGTTGGTGAATTCGATTACAGTCAAAGACCAACAAGACAGTTCTGTAGGTCAAAACTTATTTTACACTACATGGAAAACAGTAACAGAAATTTTAAGAAGATTTCTATTAGAAATATGGCTAAGGGAGTTCTCTAGCATGAGCAGGAAATTTTTTTTAAGGTACTGGGAATACTAGAGCAAGATGAAGCAAAAATAGATCTAAAGCTCAAGTTGCCAGGACTATAATTATGGAAGTGACTTTTGTCCTTGGAGCTTCTTAAAAGATGGTTTTATAGTCCTGTTAGGAGAGTATCTTTGGAATTTGGAAATCGCCCCTCAAGTTGGCATGAAATCAGTCCTTCTGAGCCAATTATGGTTCACTGAGCTCCCCATACTGGCCAGATCTGAGGTTGCTGTGTCCATCAGTGGCTCGTTTTCATTGACGGTACATTTGCAGTCACTAGGAACACACTGCAAACTGTACTCTTCACAACAGACAGAGGACCCTGTGTGACCTATACACTTCAGACCATTTCAGTTGACCTTGACCTAATTTTACATGCTGAAACATACCTAGCCATTGCCAGTTCTCTTTAGAGAGTATCCTAAAACACACTAGCATCAGAAATTTACATGCATTCCATCATCTAACATTAAACATCAGCTCAGTTTCTTAAACAGAATAGATATAATGTAAATATTGGTTATATGAGCCTATGATTGAATGATTCTCATAAAATTTTTTGGTTTTTTTTGTCTTTTTTTCGTGACCGGTAAGGGGATTGCTACCCTTGGTGTGGTGTCGCCCACACCGCACTCAGCCAGTGAGCACACCGGCCATTCCTATATAGGATCCGAACCGCACTCAGTTTCTTAAACAGAATAGATATAATGTAAATATTGGATATATGAGCCTATGATTGAATGATTCTCATAAAATTTTTTGGTTTTTTTTGTCTTTTTTTCGCGACCGGTAAGGGGATTGCTACCCTTGGTGTGGTGTCGCCCACACCGCACTCAGCCAGTGAGCACACCGGCCATTCCTATATAGGATCCGAACCGCACTCTCCCGAGTGAGCCACGGGGTCGACCCTTCTCATAAAGTTTTGACAAGCAGTTGCAGATTTCTGATAATGACATCATCTGTCTTATAATTAGAGTGCCAAGGCCAACCTCTAGGTATTGGCCAAAGAATGTAATAATACACACAAGGTCCTTAAATTAAAGATTCTTTGTGTTTATATATAAATAAGCTTTCATAAGTATGGTTACTTTTGATCACATTACAATTAACTGCTTAGCTGTTTGTAGTTTACAAAGCACTTTGCAAACATACGTACCTGATCTCAAGGATATAGTAGATAAGTCTACTTCCATTATCTTCAGCTTTTTCCCACTGTATTGAACTTTTACTCCCTTCTAATAATTTAGGAATGCCTGGTTTACTTGGTACTCCAGCTTTGGGGAAAAAAGAAAATATTGGTTGATATGTTAGAAGTGTGAAATATTCTGTATGACATGTTTCTATAGAGTATGTTACTAATAGGAAAGACAAATACATTAAAGAAATATTCAGAAATATTCTGTTATGAGCACATATTTTTAAATAACTATGTGAAAACTTTATTAATGATAGATTAGATGAATTAGTGATAAGACTGACAATATATCTTGTTAACCTAAATAACAGAGAGAGGCTCTCTGAAAGAAAAATTAGTTTAATTGGGAATGTAACATTGCAATGGAAATATATATATATGCCCTAGTAAACCATGTGAGTTTTCAGGATGGTAAAGGGAGACAAGGGGTTTTAAAGGAAAAGTAATGTAAGATTATATAATTGTTTGAGGATAATTATTGAAGGATCAATAACAAGAGTGATGTCAGTCCAAGGTTGGACAGGCAGTTGGTGGGCTGGTGCCCTCAAAGAAGTATTTTGTGGTAAGGTTTCAATGGCCTTTGTGCAAGGTTGTGGTTTTGCATAATCCTTTGTGACAATTTTTGTTATTAGTCATTCATGCCTGAGAACCCTCCCTTCATGGCCTTTCCTGGCTTTATTTGTCAGGATTTGTTTTTTGTTTTTGTTTTTGTTTTATTTTTGGTGGCTGGCCAGTACAAAGAGCCAAACCCTCAACCTTGGTGTTACAAGGCCACACTCTAACCAGCTGAGCTAACCAGCCAGCTCCTGTCAAGGGTTGTTTTTAACACAAGTGACTCCATTTTGATTCCAACAACTTTCACAATCTCAACTCGACACAAAATAAGTCATAAATGCAAACAAAGAAAGCTATTATAAATTTTGGAGCATTTTCCCTCCATTCTTCTAGGGATCAACTTGGAGTTCTGGTATATCTTTTGAAAAACCTTAAATGGACTTTCGAGATTTTTTTATTTTTAGCATCTGGAATATAGTAGTCACTTAATAAGTATTTGTTGAACACTCAGTAACACTATTTTTATTTAATTTTCACTGCAAAATATATTTGCCTGTCATAGCCAGACAGGCAAATAGAGTTCTTAAAGGAGAGATAATTTTGCCCAGTTCGGTATCCTTCAAGACCAGGCCTTATTAACTCATTACTGCCTTTTTTTTTTTTTTTTTTTTTTTTTTTTTTTTTGTCTTTTTCTGTGACCAGCCGTGCTCAGCCAGTGAGCACACCGGCCATCCCTATATAGGATCCGAATCCGTGGCAGAAGTGCTGCTGCGCTCCCAGCGCCGCACTCTCCCGAGTGCACCACGGTGCCGGCCCTCATTACTGCCTTTGAGAACTCCTGACCCTTTTTTATTTCTTTACTCAAACTCTAGAAATAGTAATGCACTTATTTTCAAGAAAAATTTCAACCTCTAGGATTGGGGAAATAGTGATGGAAGAAGAACTGAAACACATACAGGGTTTTCTGAGTGCTGAGTATGTTAGTACTCACCTTTTGTCTTAAAGCTTTCTGGAAGTGAGGTGCTGTTTTCTCCTGTCCTGTAAACCACCACTACTCGGACACTATAGGAAGTGTAAGGTTGCAGATCTGGGATGTTACAGACATAAGCGGGACCTTGACTGCATGAAGCTTTAACGTGGTAAAACTCATTGTATTTCCACTAAAGAAAGAAATTTCAATTAACATTTTTATTTCCTTAAGAAAATCTTCTTAAATATAGAAATCTACAGGCCCATGGCAAGCAATTAAAACTTAAAATTAAGAAGAAACTTAAAATTTACCTTTTTTTAAAATTTTAACGTTTACTTGTACATATTTGCAGGGTACCATGTGTTTAAAATTTACTTTCTATTAAAGAATAAGAATTTCTTTATGTATTTTTTATCTCAAACATTACCCCACCACTTACAGCCATTTTATTTTTTATGACAAGCTATAACTGACTTGAATGACAGTTTTTGTGATAAGCCCAAGGTGAAATATGCACCCTTGACCATATATCATTGGGGAAGATTCAGAGCTGTGACTTGTTATCTCTGAAGCAGACATTTACCTTAAAACTAGGAAGACTAAGAAGACAAATTCACAGCTAAAGGAAAATGATGGATCAAAGTAGTGACACCTTCAATGCCAGGGGTTCGCTAATTTCAAAATAATATTTTTACATATTTTGATTCTTTGAAGTTCACAGTGGCTTACAAACTAAAACATTTAGATTTTTCTCCTAACACAGTCTTCAGACCTATGACCAGCATGCCTTCTTTTTATCCATAGGAAGACTAGATTCCTAAAAGAAGGAAATTTTGCCCACCACCATGCAGCTTCTAAATAGCAAGGTTAGAAGTTAAATATAGGAAATATTGCTTTTATTCCCCTTTCGATACTGGGCCTCTAATTATAGCTATCTGAAACTTCTTTGTGATTTTTAAAAACCTGTGTATTTGGATCCTTAATATCATCATTTGAAAATGGTTATTCTTTTTTCACTTAACATACAAATAGGAAAAGACAGAGGATGTGGCATCTCCTCAAGGGTTCTTGGTGTATTTTCTCTAGTAGAGTTTCCTAAAAGGTCAGTTTCCATAAATAAACTCTGTTTTCATGTAACACTCACTAGATTACATCATTTCATTAGATGGACACTTTATGTTAGTTATCCATTCAGTTAGGAATGATTCTCCTTAGCACCTTTAGGAAGTAGAATACCACGTACAGAAAGAAATGGGAAAAACAGAATGGAGGGAATGAAAAACAAAAAAATAGAAATGCTGATGTCGGGAACGTTGCCTGCACCAAACTCGTGAACGTATCAATCCCCACGAGACACACAGCTTAATAAAAACAGATGCACTGAATCCATATTTACCTCTAACCTTCATAGGGAAAGAGAGAAAATAATTCCTGGCTAAAAAATCTTAGCCTTTTTTGATCTTGTCTCCTTAATGATCTGGTATAGAAATAACCTTAAGTAAATAGTCTAGGTGACCCAACCTCCCACACATCCAGAAATTATCAGAGCTCTCTAAAATGTTGGGGAGATGTTTGCCCAAGGGTACCGTAAACTGTAGAGGACTGGCCTCCCTACAGCAACAAATGTCTGGGCAGGTCACCAACTTGGAGAGGTGCCACAGGCCATCCCAGCAAATCCCAAGGGAGGCAGGAACTTCCCTTGGTCAGAGCCACAAACGCAGGGGTGAAGGCCGCCACAGAGGGGTCTTCTGATTATTTGGGTAGGGGTGGGGTGGTATGAGCTACGATATCTGAGAGACAGGAACTTCAGAAATTTTTGGTTGTGGTAGGGATTTGCCTGGACAGCGGAGGAAAACACAATTTTAATGGACTTCTGTGAAAAAATTCACCAGAGCAAAATTACTTGTTTCTCCCCAATCTTAAATCAAATATGTTCTGTACACTGCTGTGATTTTTAAGAATCTATGCAACTTAAGATCTAGGTAGAAACTTAGCCTTGTGCACCTCTACTTCCCTCATGTTCCAGAAAATAAAATTGTGGCAGAAAAGAGAGAGATTGAAAGTTTATCATTTTCTTCTTCTTTCCTTTCTAACAAAGTTATTAATTAAAAAGACACATATTTACCCTCATCACCCACCCATCAGGGTTTCGGTATGGGGTTATGGGATCATTCCCAGGTGTCCTGTCATTATGGGCAGGTTCAAGTTACTCTAAAGAGATAGGACTTTCTGACCAGATGCCACTCATCAACCCTCAAAACCACAGCCTTCTCCTGTGTGCCCGTCAGATACTACTCGTAGATGTTCACACATGTAAAAATGACTGCGTCTTGAATTTTCAGCTTCACGATTTTCTAAATGGTCTATCCTGTGTTGAGCAAGTGTAAAAGCAGAGGAAGTTCAGAAACAAAAAGCACTGCATGAAAGGCCTGAGAACTGGGCCAGGAGTCCCCTGTCTGCTGTCCTTCCCCCCAAACTTTGAGGAGTGTGATGGGTGGCTTAATGACTCACAATCCTTCAGGGGACAGCACCCAAGTAGCACTAGTGCAGGGATGAGCCGGCCTTCTCTGCCTGGCTGCTGCTATCTGGCTCATCGTGGCATCTCTCTGGGTCTCCATCTTCTCAGCAGTGATGAGAAGCTGAAGCACCCTCATCTCTAAGGCCTTTTCCCATTTCATTTCTCTGATCTAGGAAATGAACTTTACATTCCTCCTCTTGACTGTAGACTGATCTGCATTAAGCTTACTTAAATAGATGTCCAAAAAAAGGCAGTATTCCAATTTCTCCAATTTAAATGCATTTTAATAAGGTGACCATTTTATAAAATAGGCAAGAAATTATCAGGAATAGGTTCATTGAAAAAAGTCCAGTTAAACTATGGCCTTTGGTTTTATCAACTCAAGAACCTGTGTTCCATATTTTTCATAGTTTTTATCTAAAAAGTAGAAGATCATAAAAATATATAGTCAACTTTTAAAATATCCTGGAGAACAATTTCATTTTTAAAGAAATAGTGAGGTCATGACTATACCAATTTATTTTTAAGTTACTACTGAACAAAACATTCCTAAGCCATCTTTACAAATGAGTACATATACATAGGCCCAGATGTACACAAACATACCCACACAAATATAAAATAGTGAAAATGCCAAAAACAAATATAAAAACTTAAAATCCATTCTAAGTGTATTACTATAAAAGTCAATGTAGACTTTCCCTAGCAGTGAATTAATCAAATTAATTGATGCCTTAAGATTCAATGGGTGTTTTCATATTGGTTAACACATGAATTTTGGATGAGGAACAATTTAAAGTTTATAAGCCAATATCAAACAAGTGTAGAATAAACTGCTTTTACATTTTACTTCTCTCATTACTGCACAGCCCTCAACTGGTTGAAAGGACATTTCTAAACAAGGTTTTGATTTTTTTTGTTGTTTGCCTCTTTCATTTTTTTTTTTTTCATAGAAAAACACCAAATTGCTATGGACTTTAAACCAGAGAACCATTCCAGTAAGATCTAAACTAAGTAAAATATTATAAACTTAGTAAACTATAACTTATACCATTTTACCCAGAGCCTATTAAGAGCATATTAATCTGCCTGGGAATTCTTTCCAACAGAAATTAGCCTGGATGACTTACTGCTTCTACATGCCAAATCTGAATCAATGAGTATTGTCCAATATATTGCTGATTTATACAAGGGAGTGCTCTAGACATATATTCTAAGTTATTCTATATTGTAAAATAAAGATTTGCATTTAAAGTCTACCTTCTGCAGTTCAAACCAAAATCTGAGGAGGTTAACATTCGATGGAGCCTTCCAATCCAATTGCAAACTAGTGTTCTCTGGAACCAAGGCATAAGGTTTCTTTGGTGTGTCAAACATTTTGATAGTGACAGGATGACTCTCAGCACACCACATTTCCTCACAGTGGCAGGCCAGAACCTTTTTGTAAAAAAAAGAAAAAGAAGGGGAAAAAAAAGCAATTGCTTAACTTTTTCAGAAATTTGCACTTGAGAATGCCAATAAAAAGTGCCCCATATGCTGTACCTTTAGTACGTATTGTTGTCCACCAGAGAGTTTAGTAACAAGGAGGGTGAGCCTTCCATGTGGAAATTCACTTTGCCTTAGAGGAGTCTCAGGGATTAGGGCCAGGTGTGAGATGGCCAGCTGATAGCGGACCAACTCTTTAGGTCCATTTGGCTTCCGAGATTCTCTCCAGGATATGATAAGGCTGGTGTCTGAATGCACGGTTGTGTTAATGAGTGAAACTGCCTCTGGTACTGAAATAAATAGCAACAAATGCTGAGTGATGTTGCAACAGAACAGGAAAGTCAGAAGAAGTGACAGTCTTGGCTGAGGAATAATCATATCATGTGAGAAGAATATGTAACATGTTCAGGAGAATCAGCCTCTTACACTTGTGCAGCAGTAAGTTAACAGACTGCCTGAAAGGCTCTCGCTTATTTTGTCTAATGACCAAATCATTCTCTGACTCTAGTGCAAGGATATGGCCAATGCCAAATAACTCAATTTGGGTGAGTTTTGTGAATATCATCAAAGTTATCTGAAAAAAAATAGCATCACCTTATAATAATCACCCCTTCTTAGAACACCTTTTTGGATTCTAGACCTATTTTTTTTCAAAGCAATGTTATATACCTATGAATCTCAGCAGCCTCCATCCAGCCCTGTGATGACCACACCAGTACAGGAAGCCCCCTGGCCCCCAAGCCAGAGTATGGGGGCCTTCAGGCCTCAGCCATATGCCCCTTCCCTCCCCAGCAGCCAAGCCAGCAAAGGAGCTGATGGTGGGCCAGACCCGGCCCCCCACCCCTACCTCTGTCCCCCTACCCTTCTCCCTTCTCCCCCTCCCACTGCTCTGCAACAACGGCTTGGAATGTAAAATAATAATAATAATTAATTTTTTAAAGATCTCAGTGGCCTCAGTACAATTCACACAGAGAGAAGGCTTGGCTTTCCTAGGTCTCACCACAGGTACAGAGACCTATGCGAACAGAATGACAATGTGCTGAGACCAAAGAATGTTTCTTAGTCAAACAGTATTGATTTTGATGTTTCACCTCCTAGTTGCTTTCCATTTTGATGGAATATTACACATCATCTTCAGGGGTTAGAGTAAGGTCACCAAAATACTTTTCTACAAGTACCTTTTTCCCGTTAAACTTAAAGAAGCTCACCTAATAAAGATTACTTAGCATTCAGATTTAAAAAATAGACATACACATCATATATATTATAAAATTCCACTCTAGAAACGCACAGCAAGCCCATAACTCACCTCCACTTTTAGTTTTTCCCCAAATCTCTTTTCCCAGAGGTAAATGTTCCAAAGGATTTGAATAATAATTCTTTACAGTTATCCGTATCACATATGTTGAAAATGGTTGTAAATCTTCAATAAGGGCTATCCTGTCCTGAAATTCCTGTAATTGATTTTTTTAAATCAATATCTGATTCTTACATTTCATACAAATGGGTAGAAATTATTTAATCAAAGAGAAAAAAATGGAAGACTCAAAAAAAGTAAATTTATTTTTAAATTCTGGATTATTAATAACAATGCCCCTATTCTATTCTACTCAGATTTGAGTTATTTAAAATCTCCAGGAATAGATGCCAAATGATTGGCAGCCTTCGGTCACTTGTGTGGCATAACTTATTTCACACAGGAAGCTAAACTCCCGGAAGGGGACACTAGTTCATTAGCATTGCCTTAGAATGGTATTGTAAGGATGTGAAACATAAGTGAAAACAATACAAGATTACGCAATATTACCTACTCATTCTTAGAAATAAGTAAAAAAGACTTTTCTTAGACCAATGCTTCTCGGCTTTGGTTATACTTTGAAATCATTTGGGAAGTTTTTAGAAAATACTATGCCTAGATTCCACTCCCAGAGATTCTGATTGAATTATCTGGGGTGAAGCCTCAGCCCAAAGTTTTTAAAAAGCTCCCCCTTTTATTGAGAACCATTCCCTTAGACCCACATAATCAATGAAGACAATAAGAAAAACTAGCTCTAATAACAGAAATATCCAATGCCACAAGCCCCATCTTGGTAAGCCAGATGATCCAACCCATCTCTGAAACAATTCCTTATAGAAATGTGTAAGGGAAGGTCAAAATAGACGAAATAAAAGAAGTGAAAAAGAATCACATATACTTTATGGCGAAGCACATAGGTTTAATGTCCAATAGATAATGGTCAATTTTACCTTTTGAATTGGTTAAAGCCAAACACATAGCAAAATATTGGATATATATGATTTTATCATTAGGACAACTGATATATTAATGCTAACTTGGAATAAATAGTTTTAATTCATTCATTTATTCAAGAAGTATCTAGTGAATGACAAGACAGTGCCAAGTTCTGTGCTAGGTGCTAGGGATACAATGATGAACAAAAACAGACATAGTCCCTGGATAGCAGTGCATTTCACAACATATAGGAAATAATGGACAAAAACATAAAGTACAATTTTTATTTTAGATAAATGCTATGGAGAAGAGGTACTTTCTGTCCAATTTGTTTCATACTCTTCAATCTGCGATCTGCTGGATAGGCCACACAAACAAGTCCCTATCACTTTCCGGGGATACTTAGATAATCAGGGAGAGAAACCCAGTTCTTTCAGGACACTCAGGAAATTGTTACCATGGTAATCCATCAACTGGGTAGAGTTAATATACTTCCATGAAGCTTAACTTGCTCACCGATAAGAAGACTAGAATACACTATGTTTTGATGAATCGTCAGCTATAAAAAGTTGCACAGTGATACATTTCAGAACATATGGAAAATACTTTATTGTGGCTGATAATTTTATATCAAAAAAAGGCATCTTGTGAAAAACAAAGACCACTAGCTCCAGTCTTACCAGCATTCTATATTTCAGATCAGAGCTGTTTTTCCTGCCATTAAATCCTGTATAATAAACCAGGTATGTTGGAGTAGGGCTAGTGATGCCATACCACGTGAGGTTTGTCTTGGCTGGAGGTAATCTGAGTGTGAGGCTCGTGTTAGTGGCATTAAGTATAGCTGGCTGTGCAATATCTGCAGCTACAGACAAAAATGCTTTATCTAAAATAAGAAGAGAACAAAGATTAAATATATACACATATATATAAGAGAGGAACAGCAGATTTATTTAATATCAAGGATAATATCAAAGGTTATAAAGAAATTTGTAGAACATGCATAACTTTTGCTTGAAAGGATAAATATAAAAATACTTTTTAAATGATGTTCTCTTTGAAGAAACAAAAAAAGGATGCATCTTGATATTGTGTGTGACAGACACTGTTAGACTCTATCCAATATCCTCCTATTCTTCCTCAAGTTCACATACATCTGACATTGTTCAGGGTAGCATGCCCAGAGGAAAAACAGTTTCTAAGGTTCCGGTGCAACCCCAGCAATCATGTGACACAGTCTGTCCAATCAGATGTAAGGTGGGCGTCTGCTCGGCGGGCTCGGTGGGCCTTGCAAAAGAACCATCATCTCACTGAGGGCAGACTCACTGCCACGCACCACTCCCTTCACCCTCTCCCTGTCCAGGATGCAGACATGATGCCTAGAAAGGCTGCAGCCTTCTTGTGAGAACCGAATAAAAGAGTCGCTAAAGAAGTTTGGAAAAAGAAGTCCAGGTGCTTGATGTTATTGTAGAGCTGCCTGGGCATCACATACAACCAAATGCTGCATCCTGCACAACTGCAGGGAGCTCCATTCGTTGACACTACAATGAGAATGGTAGGCTCTAGACCAGTGCAGTGGCACAACCACACCACTGTCTCTGCTGAAGCCTTTAAAATCACAATTCTGTCACTTGCAGCTGAATGCAACTTCTGACCTGTTCACCCTGTCTTATGCAAAACATCACCTAAAAACACAGCACCGTTGTGCAAAGAGAATACAATATGCAAATATTTCCAAATATGATTTTGATATGAAACCTAACAACCTTACACCAGTTAATCAACTCTTTAACTCATCATGCATTACACTTTGCTATCTGTCTTCTGCCCCCTGCTATGTCCCATCTCTGACTAGGCAAAGCCATCCTTCACTCTAACCACACTGCAAACTGTGTTGGACTCTCACCCTTCCAGACCTTGCACAGCATGTCTCCTCAGGTTGGAATGAACTTGCTCACCTACACATCTTTTCTTAGAGCTCAGTTCCTGCTGCATCTCTCATGGGAGGCCCTGCCTGCCTCCCTGCTCCAGGTGAAGAGCATCTCCTCTGTGTTCCCCCGCACCCCACACACTCCTCCACCACAGCACTAACCACATTTGGTCATGTTTTGTTTTCCCTCTTAGTGCTTTCTTTTCTTTACCTACCTCTAGAATGTGAATTTCCTGTGCTGAGACTGTGCTTGACTTACCTTTGTTTCCCCAGAGCCCCAGGAGGGTGCCTGACACATATTAGGTATTTAATAAATGTTGTAGATCTTTATTGATCTGTGTTATCAAAATACAAAATGCATCCTTTGCATTCAATGAGTAAGAAAATTAGGGGGGAAATGTCTAAGTTCTAAATGAGTTGATCAAGCCAGCTCCATCACTTACTAACTTTCTGACCCTGGGAAGGGTTACTCCAGCTCTTCTGCCAATAGAGACAATTACCCATTTCACAGATGTGTATTACTCTATGGCTAGCACATAGTGAGCATTTTTTTTTTTTTTTTTTTTTTTTCTTTTTTGAGACCGGCCGCACCACGCTCAGCCAGTGAGCGCTGTGAGCATACCGGTCATCCCTATATAGGATCCGAACCCGCGGCGGGAGCAGCTACTGCGCTCCCAGCGCCGCACTCTCCCGAGTGCGCCATGGGCTCGGCCCCATAGTGAGCATTTTTAATAAATATTAGCTATTCTTAACATTATTTGTAAGACTACTGAAAAATCAGGAAAAAACAATGCTGGTCTAATCTGGAAATTCCAAATATGAATTCCAAAATGCAGAAAAGAATGTTTAAAATTAGAACTACACCATAAATTTCCAGTTATAGGGAAACAGTAATTGATGCTTGAAGAGGTCATGAACCTAATGTTGAGGACACTTGGAAGGTATGTGGGGGGGCATGTTGGAGAAGAATAATTTCACTAAGGTCATAAACTGGGCCGTTTTTCAGTTCAACTAATATTTATCCAACAGTATTCAGTGTGTGCTGATTTCTGGTCTAAAATGAGAATGGGACACTCACATTAGCAGCCAGAGCAATAATCTGATTCAAAGGTCATTGGTACTTTTGTCATTCTTTTATTTTTATTTAACTGATATGGTATGATATATTGAAGTGTTGGAAATATAACTTGGGACAGGAAGACAAGTCTTTCCCATACGTTTTTTTCTTTTTTTCTTTTTTTACCGCGAATATTTTGAAGATGTTAAATGCCTGCCTCAGGAAAAAAGGAGCATGGTAACTAGTAATTGCTTAAAATTTCCAGCAGATGGAGGTAAAGTACCCCTAATAACGTACCTAGAGGAGTAAAATAAAGTTGACCCTTTTTCCCAAAGAAAATAATAAGAGCATTATACTAATTGTATTTTTTAACGATTTCCAGTTATAAAAATTTTTGCAACATTTAAGACTTTTATTTTTAAAAATGTGTTTGTGTTTGTGTGTTGCGGGGGTGTGTGGGTGTTCAACTTCAGATAGACAGTGCTTGGACTATTTTTAATAAATTTTTTTTAATGCAGTTTTGGGTTCAAAGCAGCATTAAGAGGAAAATACAGAGATTTCCCATTTACCCCCTGCCTCCACACATGCACAGTCTCCGCCATTAGCAACATCCCCCACAGAGTGGTACATTTGTTACAATCAATGAACTTACACTGGCACATAATTATCACCCAAAGTTCATAGTTTACATTAGGGTTGACTCCTGTGTTGTGCACTTTATGGTTTTGGACAAATGTGTAACAACATGTATTCACCATTACAGTATCATATAGAGTTGTCTCGCTGTACTACAGTCTATTTATCCACTTACCTACCGAAGGGCATCTTGGTTGCTTCCAAACTTTGGCAATTACCAAGGAAGCTGCTATAAACATCCATGTGAAGGTTTTGGGGTGGACAGTTTTCAACTCCTCTGGGTAAATACTAAGGAGCATTATTGCTGGATCATATGGTAAACGTATGTTTAGTTTTGTAAGAAACTGCCACACTGTCTTCCAAAGTGGCTGTACCATTTTGATTCCCACCAGCAATGAATGTCTTCGTGTTGCTCCACATCTTTGCCAGTGTTTGGTGCTGACAGTGTTCTGGATTTGGGGCCATTCTAATAGGTGTGCAGTGGTATCTCACTGTTTTCATTTGCATTTCCCTCATGACATATGATGTGGAGCATTTGTGTATCTTGTCACACATGATGTGAAGTGCCATTTGTATATTTTCTTTGCTGAAGGTCTTTGGCCCATTTTTTAATCATGTTGTTTTCTTATCGTTGAATCCTAAAAGCTCTTTGTGTAGTTTGGATGCTTTATCAGATATGTCTTTTGCAAATATTTTCTCCCAGCCTGTTGCTTGTCTTTTCATTCTCTTGACAGTATCCTTACAGAGCAGAAATTTTTAATTTTAATGAAGTCCAGATTACCAATTCTTTCTTCCATGGATCATGGCTTTGGTGTCATGTTTTAAAAGTCATTCCCAAACCCAAGATCATTTAAACTTTATTTTATATTATTTTTACAAGGTTTATAGTTTTGTGCTTCACTTTTAGGTCGGTGGTCGATTTTGAGTTAATTTTTGTGAAGTGCGTAAGGTTTGTGTCTACATTCTTTTTTCTTTTTTTTTTTTTTTTTTTTTTTTTTTTTTTTTTTTTTTTTTTTTTTTTTTTTTTTTTTTTTTTTTTTTTTTTTTTTTTTTTTTTTTTTTTTTTTTTTTTTTTTTTTTTTTTTTTTTTTTTTTTTTTTTTTTTTTTTTTTTTTTTTTTTTAACATGTAGATGTCCAGGTCCAGCATAATTTGTTGAAAAACTCTCTTTTCTCCATTGCCCCTTTGTTGAAGATCACTTGACTATATTTATGTGGGTTTATTTTGGGCTTTCTATTCTGTTATATTGATCTATTTGTCTATTCTTTCACCAATACCACACTGTTTTGATTACTGCAGCTTTACAGAAAGTCTTGAAGCCAGTTAGTGTCAGTCTTCCAACTTTATTCTCCTTCAGTTGGCAATTCTAGGTCTTTTGCTTCTCCATATTAACTTTAGAAACAGTTTGTTAATATCACAAAATAACTTGCTAGGATTTTGATTGGGATTGAATTGAATCCATAGTTCAAGTGACATCTGGACAATATTGAATCTTCCTATCCATAAACATGGAATATCTCTACATTGACTTGTATTTAGTCCTCCTTTGATTTCTTCCATCAGAGTTTTGTAGTTTTCTTTATATAGATCTTGTACATATTTTGTTAGATTTATACCTAAGTATTTCATTTTGGGGGGCTGCTAATGTAAATGGTATTGTGTTTTTAATTTCAAATTCCACTTGTTTGTTGGTGATATATAAGAAAGCAATTGGCTTTTGTATATTAACCTTGTGTCCTGCAAACTTGCTATAATCACTTATTAGTTCCAGGAGGGGGTTTTTTGTAAATTTTTTAGATAATTTACATAGACAATCATGCAGTCTTTGAACAATGACTGGGCTATTTCTTCCTTCCCAAACAGTGCTTTTTATTTTATTTTCTTGTCTTATTGCATGCTAGGACTTCCAGTACAATGTTGAAAAGGAGTACTGAGAGAGGACATCCTTGCCTTGTTGCTGCTCTTAGTGGGAAAGTTTCTAGTTTCTCACCATTAAGTACAATGTTAACTGTAGGATTTTTATAGATATTCTTTCTCAAGTTGAGGAAGTTCTCCTGTATTTGTAGTTTGCTGAGAGTTTTTAATTATGAATGGGCCTTAAATTTTGTCAAAAGCTTGTTCTGTATCTATTGATGTGATTGCACGGTTTTTCTTCTTTAGCCTGTCAATGTGATGTATTACATTAATATATTTTCAAATGTTGAGCCAGACTTGGGATAAACAACACTTGATTGCTGTATATAATAATTTTTATACTCATTTTTTATACTCATATATGGATTCAATATACTAATATTTTGTTGAGGATTGTTGCATCTATTTTCAAGAGAAGCACACGTTTGAAGTTTTATTTTCTTGTAATATCTTTGTCTGGTTTTGGTATTAGGATAATGCTAAATTATTCCTCATAGAATGAACTCACACTATGATCTAACAGGAAGTATTCCCTCTGCTTCTATCTTCTGAAGGAGATTGGGGAGATTGTTATAATTTATTTCCTAAATGTTTGGTAGAATTCTTTATTGAACATACCTTGGCCTTATGCTTTCTGTTTTGAAAGGTTATTGATTCAATTTTTAAATTTATATAGGCCTATTCATATTGTCTATTTCTTCTTGCATGACTTTTGGAAGATTCTATCTTTAAAGAAATTGGTCCATTTCATCTAGGTTATCAGGTTTGTGGGCATAAGGTATCTCATAATATTCATTGATTATCCTTTTAATGTCCTTGGGATCTGTAATGATGTTCCCTGTGATGGCTGATTTTAGGTGTCACCTTGACTAGATTAAATATATAGAAACCTGGTAAAACATTATTTTTTGGTCTATGGAGGTGTTTCCAGAAGAGATCAGCATGTAAGCCTGAGTGGACTGGGTGGGAAAGACCTGCCCTCAATATGGGTATGCACCATCCAATCTATTGGGGGCCTAAAGGGAACAAAAAGGGAGGAAAAGGCAAATCTCTCACTCTATTTCCAGTGGAGCTGGGATACACTCTTCTGAACTCAAGACATCAGAACTTGGGCATCTTCAGTCTTTGGGGCTGGGACTTAATACCAATGGCACTCCAGCTCTCAGGACTTTGGCCTCAGACTAAAGATCTCACCATCAGCTTCCCTGGTTCTGAGGTTCTTTGGACTGAACCATGCTAACAGCCTACTGTGAGACTCCTCAGCCTTCATAACTGTGTGAGTTAATTCCCCAAATAAGTCTACTTTCACATATATATTCTATTGGTTCTGTCTCTCTGGAGAACCCTGACTAATACATCCCCTCCTTCATTTCTGTTATGAGTAATTTATGTCCTCTCTCTTTTTTCTTAGCCTGGCTAGAGCCTTATCAATTTTATTTATCTTTTCAAAGACTCAGCTTTTGATTTCATTGATTTGCTATACTGATTTTCTATTTTCAATTTCATTGATTTCTGCTCGAGTTTTTATTTTGTCTCTTCTGCTTACTTTGGATTTAATTCACTCATCTTTTTCTTTTTTTTTTTTTTTTTTTTTTTTTTTTTTTTTTTTTTTTTTTTTTTTTTTTTTTAAAA